ATTGACTACCTTCGCCTGTCTTCGTGATATTGCGCAACTATCATTTTGGTAATCCTCCTTACCTTATTTTTTTTTTTTTTTAGTTTTGCTGCTTAACTAGCACAAAACTTTTCCTTCTAGCGTACATTATCTCCACAATTTACTCGCACCAAATTGAAATCATACTACTTCGCTGGAGATGTGCTAGAACTTGTAGATATTTGCGATGCATCGTTTCTTGGCTTGTAAGGTCTGCACAGTGTTAAACGATCACTGAACAAACTTCCAGTGTGGAGGAATGAATTTTATAACGCAGCGATCATGCGTTTCGTGTATTTTCGTCCAAAGAACGTTTGTTTGCTAAAAAGATAATTGTTTTACACTTTTATGTGTGGAAAAATAGTCGATATGCTGTCTGGCTCCTAAAATGAGCAATTTCCCACTGAAAATTTCACGTTGCGGTACATGAAAGCTGAATTTGAAAACTTGGATGGGAAACATCCATCTAAATTTCAACCTCCCAATTTTCCGGCTTGAAAGCTAGAGACTTAGCATCAAAATTCTCGCATGGTCGTATGTAAGACCTCGGCATATTTGGGAGTTAAATTTAAGTTTGTGAGGTATCTGCACAAGCAAGAAATATCCTCCTGAAATTTCAGCCTCACAGCTCTTCTGGTTCCTGAGATATTAATTTTCCTCACCGAAACCTTTGCTGGTCCGCACAAAAGACCCGGACGTATATGAAAGCTGAATTTGATTCTGCGAGTTCGCATTCTCGCAAAATTTCAGTCTTCTGTCTTTTTTGGCTTCAGAGATAGTAATTTTTCTCGCCGAAACCTTCACGGGTGCAGAATTGAAATCCAGGCTTGACGGAAAACTGATTTTCAGTTTACAGGGTTGCATGCGGAAAGAAAACATTCTCGTTAAATTTCAGCTTCCTAGCTTTCATGGTTCCCGAGTTAATAATTTTCCTCATCAGAACTTTTACGGGGTCGCACGCAGAAGGCTGGGTTTAAAATTGCAGGGTCACACGTGGGCGGGGAACATTCTACTAAAATTTCAGCCGTTTGACCTTTGTAGTTCCCGAGTTGAAAGTGCAGGACAGAATGTACTCGGCCACATACGCACCATTCACACACACACACACACACACACACATACACACACACACACACATAAGCAAAAACACATATACACAGACAACCCCGTGACAGTATGCGTTTGGTGCTGCTGATACACAGTGCAAAACGCATGAAAATGATGTTGCTAGTTGTCGCAGTGATACAAAGAAAGCGACA